TTTTTCCGGGGAACGTCGACAGAGACACGGAGGTCATAAACGATTTCGGAGACTACAGTGGCCCCGTTAGTGCGCGTTTCATCAAAATCCACCCTCGAAAATGGCATGGGTACATCTCTATGCGGGCAAAAATCGTAACAGGTTTGAACTGTTTAATGACAATAGTCTATGGTAGCATTACGTGTCAGCATTTTGTTTCGTCTGATAAATATACCTTAACAATAAACGTAAATACGTCCACGATGTTGCAAATATAACATAAAACGTCGTTTTGTATGCATGACAGGGTCCTTGTGTAGGGGTATATGTCATCATTTCCGTGTCAATATCACGGCCGAAAGAAAGACCGTCACGTCTTGTGGTCAAATGCAACGTTTTTTGGGTCAATACGTCACGTATCTAGGCCATACGTCATGCATGGCAAAACATACGGATACGTGACGTACAGGTCGTTCTGCAATCTCCGTGTCAAAATTACATACGGCAAAAGCGTCACGTTTTGAGATCTATACGTCACGTATTTTGTGCTATACGTCACGTGTGACAGGACAACGTTACGCATGGCAAAGAGCACGGATATCCATGTGGCTCTGCAAGTTTCGTGCCTAAATTATGTACGTTGAAATCGATACATGTTTAGGCGTATACGTCACAGTTTGTGGCACCGATACGTCACGTATGCCAGTTAATACGTCACGTGTGTCAACTTATCTCACTCATTGCTTGGTTCTTGCACCATAATTTCGATTGTCAAGCAAAAGTGCATGCAATTAATATAATAACCTTATTTCTGGTGGAATAGGCAGGCATGAAACGTGAACATGGATTAGGGTCAGATATCACTCCAATGTGTACGGGACTCAGCTGTGGTTATTTATCCCAATTTTTTAGCACCATATTTTCTTTTATTCTAAAAACGTGCTAGTCACATTGACATGGGATATTTGTTAAAAAGCATGCCATCCCATTTTTTTACTAAAAGGTATATTATGCAATCTCTTTTTAGTGAAAAAATGGGATAACACCCCTGCCATCCCATTTTTTTACTAAAAGGTATATAATTCAAAAACCTTTTAGTGAAAAAATGGGATAACACCCCGTTCATTCAACCATTAGCTCGCAGTGACCGGTCACCAGTCACCAGTCACCAGTTGGGGACGGAACTATATCTTCGGGGGGGGGGATCTGGTGCGTTGGGGGGGTGAAAAGAAAATTGGCACATTTTAATACAGCACCGAAAAACGCATGCTTCAGCTTTGTCAATTTGGCACGAAAAATTCACCATGTACGGGACCTCGTACGCGTCATCGTCACTGTGTATTTGAGGCAATGCCCAGGGGCAATGCCACATCTCTGTCCTAACCGACGCGGGACAGCGATGACAGGCGCTGATAGCTGACCGTGGACAATTATGGGGGAGGAGGCATCTGAAATTTCCCGCACAAAAGCTCCTTTTCGTGATTACCAGTTGTTTGGCAAAGGTGAGTGAGTATCTGTAAATGAAGTATAGAATGCTTGTTTGATATAATATCGTTTTGATCTGTCTGTCGTACCTCGCCAAAGAGTCACTGCCTTATACTATGTATAGCCTTCCTTATAGCCTGTGTACCATCCTACATGTATTTGTATGCCGGGGGTCACTCGTCACACTCGCTAATCACTAACAAGTGTAATGCCATTGTTTTGTTTTTTGGTGGTGTACAGGGGGGTCAGAAGTCATGATCTCAGTGTTTCCATGGATCGCACTTATTTTCGCTGGTAAAATATTAAATTTTTGGACTAGATGGACAATTTGGAAGTTGGACTACCCTGTCAATACGAGTTTGCAATAGTTGAACACTCAAGTAGGTGATTTTTGACAGCTGAATTCTTGTATTTTTAACATATCATCCAATGGAGGCTGGTATTAGTGTCCTGTCCCCGACAAGCGGGCGCTCCAAGGGCTGTCTGACGTTTTGACTACGAAGACTTTTAAAATCGCCCACAACGAAAAAGGGCTTGCAGGCCCTGGCCTTATTTGAGATTTGCTGAGTGATATTAAATACCAAGGTACAATCCACAAAATAATTAAACACCGACATAAAGTGGCCTGCGGTTACGTTTTAATGCCCTCTTTATTTGGCCCTCTACGGAGATCTAGCGAACTGCAGACGTCTCACCCCAGAAGATCGGCCGGGGCGGAGTTAAAAATGACCAAACACAAAGATAGACGGAATCCCTTATTTTCTCGCCTTAGTTTTGGCCGCTATTGGTGGGCGAAGATCATAGCTAATTATGTTTATTTTGATTTACTAAAAGGCGTTAGATTATAGCGTTTTGGGGTGGCGGTATTACTCCGCCAAGAGTGATGCGATACCTGCACGCGCAGGGTGTTTTTGTTTAAGACGGATTTGTATAACATTGAGGTGGTAGATAACAATGACCCGACCCAACCCAACTGGCGACCGGTCACTGCGAGCTAATGGTAACCATATGGTTGAATGAACAGGGTGTTATCCCATTTTTTTACTAATAGGTGTTCGTGCTATATTCTTATTAGTAAAAAAATGGGATGGCAGGGGTGTTATCCCATTTTTTTACTAATAAGGATGCTGTTAAAACTTAATAGTAAAAAAATGGGATGGCAGGGGTGTTATCCCATTTTTTCACTAAAAGGTTTTTGGATTATATTCCTTTTAGTAAAAAAATGGGATGGCAGGGGTGTTATCCCATTTTTTCACTAAAAAGTGATTGGATTAAATTCCTTTTAGTAAAAAAATGGGATGGCAGGGGTGTTATCCCATTTTTTCACTAAAAAGTGATTGGATTAAATTCCTTTTAGTAAAAAAATGGGATGGCAGGGGTGTTATCCCATTTTTTCACTAAAAGGTGATTGTGTTATACATATACTAGCAAAAAAATAAACAAATTAATAAAAATACAATTATCCCAAGAAAAACGTTTAGCACGTTTTTTACATTAAAATACATTACGGTGCTAAATAATTGGGATAAATAATCAGATCTCATACTATTACAGAATATAATAAGAAAGATCTTTATTGTACATTTTTGCTCATTGCGAACTAAGTAAAGGTCATCACGGCAAATAGCGATGGTAGACTAAATTATATCTATAGTAAAAGTACATATGTACAGGTTCTGCTTCTTCTCGCTTCTTATAGAGCTAGGAGCTTATAGTACGAGGATTATCGAGTTTCATGAGAAATGTGAATTTTTCTTTTCTATCTAAAAATCTGAAACTAGGGAAATAATCTTGTATAGCAGCTCATATGGTCACTGAGACTGACGGCGTTTCCTGTTCCATGTTCCAGACACCAGCGCGTTCACGTCCCTGGAAGTCCACGTGCGACTCCGAAGAGTCCTGTGGCGGTACATCCTGACTGCCTACCTCCCGTCCACCGTCGTGGTTTCCGCCTCTTATCTACAGACATGGCTGTCGCCCACACAGGCCGCCATTTCTCCCAGGATCGTTCTCGGTGTCATGTCAGTACTGACGATGATCAAACAGATGGGGAAGACTGCACGCATGCCTTGGGTTAGTATCTTTAAACCTGCGAAACGTTGCAAGTAGCATCCACTACTTTCGTCAGTGACTATCGGTCTTGAAACGTCGGTTTTCAAAATCTATCTAGTTGCTTGAGTACCTGTATTCTCATTACCTAAATATCGAACCTTTGTCTACGTATCATTGAACCTGCGACTCTGAGCCATTTATATCGTTGATGTCATTGAAGTCATCGTGAAGAATGATTTTTTTTCTGTACATGTTCGCCAGTGTAATGTATCATAAATTGTTCCAGAAGTAGATAGATGTTAACGACATGATTTCTTATGTACTATTGTGCCTAGCACACAACTTAGAATGCTCCTAGAGTCACGTAGGTCCTTTTTGTAGCTCTCATTGAAAATATCAATTTGATGTATAAATGTGTGATAAGTACTAAGTATTAAAAGCAACAGAACTATCGCAATAACACCTGGCATATACGTTTACACACCATTGCCAAACTAAAACAGAAATCACAAAAGCTCTTTTGTTTGATAGGTTGATGAACCAAGGGCAATTGACATCTGGATGTTGGGGTGTCTTTCCTTTGTGATTGTGGTACTTCTGGTGACGGCTGTGGCACACTTTCTCTCCTTGTCCATTCAAGAAAAGGTATGAGCTGACACATAAGAGATTTGTCCATTCCTTCATAAACATCCATGCCCATCACTTAAGCTCTATTACCAGAAACTCTCATTCTAATAAGCAAGGGCATTATTTATCTGTGTATAATGTCCTTGAAATAAGTAAAGCGTTTTGTGAACAGTAGCTAGAAGACACAGCCAAATGACGGCCATTGAAATATACGACGTCGTATTAAATTCTTTCCTTCAGGAGAAGAAAGAAATCCGCGCAGAGAAGCTGGAGAGAGAACGGAACCTTCCTGTCCAAATCCCCCGGCCCGGACTGAAGGATCCCTCGGGGTGGACTCACAGGCCGCCCGAACACCACACGTACAAGGTCGCGGTACCCGAGGAGCCGGTATCCATTCCTCGAGCACGGCTGAGCAAGCCTGCCAGTCTTAGGTGGCACCAACTGGCTGACAAAGAGTGGGTGATTGTGATCAAAGAGACTGTCGCTGATCTCAAGAATAAAGAGGACAACGTCTGGAAGTCGCGAGACCACGCCGACAGTCCGACCGTGTCGTACACCCCTCCCACGATGACGTCACACACCATGTACACAAACGTCCCGGCTTTTGACGCCAGAACCGTCGGGCCCAGTGCAGCCGAACGGGCCGACAGCATGGCGGGAAAAACAGACCGATATGCCAGGGCCATACTACCCGCCATTTTTCTCATATTCAACATAGGGTACTGGAGCTTTTATCAATATTAAAAGGCAAGAAATATTAGCAATTGCAAACACCTGGCTCTATGTATTTGCCAGGTGATGAACTATGTATTTTTCCAACAAATATTGTATTTTTATCAGTGTTTTTATAGTGTATTGGTGTTTTTATCAGTTGTAAATGTTGAGATGTTTTAGTTATGTATTTCTTAATGAACGGGAGATACATATTAACGAGATACTAGCCTTATCAATGTTACATCTTAATTACAGGATGATATTAGGGAACGTAGGTGGAACTTTATTTAGCATTGCAATATTGATGGTATCATTTATATTATGAGTTCAGAACTGCAATCACTAAAATCTTTTTCTCCACCACTTATACAAATAGTATCCATCTACTGGTCATGGTTTAAATAGCAATGTTTGACATCAGCATTTCAGTGTGAGTGTGGTAAAACAGTTAATCCAAGGCCATGTCTTATTTTCAACCCGAATGACTATTTTAGAACAACTATCCAGACTGTCAAAGTTAAAGATTTGAAATAAAGTTTGAAATAAATTTTCAAATAACTGATAGTCGTTCTTCTCTACCGTCCTGTTTATTTAGCACAGAAGGTTCTCATGTGTAATGTTATTTGTTGTATTTAAAAAAAGAAATGATGTAGTCGCACTCTACAGGCATATGAATGAATGAATGAACTTTATTTTTCTGCTGAACAGTTGTACATGGTACAATGTATGGCAACAATGACAATGTGATCAATACAATCAAATGTCGTAAACACTGTAACTGTAGATATGTAGATACAATATGAGCGTAAGCGGCGTTTGACATGATGTGCGTTAGGCGTTGCTATCTGTTACAATACTTTCTGTCTTTTCTAATGCACTGCATATATATTGGCCTAAGTGCATATGGCTGAAGTGAATTTCTCATTCATGAATATTTAATGAGGCCACGCTGTAAAACAAGTAATATAATAAAGCGGACGTACAGGATAATATACGTGAGTGTGAGTAGAATCATCTTCTATAGTATACTTATTACAGTGATCACAGACACAATTGACTGATGATCACTATATATTGTAATAAATGTGGGACATTACCAGAGTTTCATTGGTTTCATCCAATGTAATAGAGTTCCTGTGAAGACAGGACAAAGGACAAAATGATTACTTCCATCAAATCAAGACTTGCTGTCAGAAACAATATTCTCTTTATGCATGGTCGCGCAAATGTTTACAAGCATTTTAGCGGGTGACAGAATGTTCACGCCCTTTTTGTTGCCTTTGTTGATGTGTTGACATGTCATATATAAGCTGCTTCAACCTTACCAAACTTTACATACGGTAGATGCTTATGAAGTACAGTTGACGGTTTACGAACTAAAGCTACGCTGGAAAAATGCATATGATTCTATATATTCTTGTGGCATCGATGTTAGTGATTCTGCAGAACAGAGCTGTTTATGGTGGTAGGTGGCATAACCTTGTACATTCTGAATAACACTTATCATGTCGTAGTGTGCTATGAAAATTGTAGTACAGATAGATTTAACCGTAAGATTCGTTATAACCAATGAGAAATGACTAAGGATATTCGTCTTTGTATTTCGTTTGTATCGAAATCGTGGTCACATCATTTTCGTTTGCATATTATGTTTACCCCAGGATGACTTGGTTTTGTCACTAATGCTCCTAATAGGTAAACAGCAGGCTCTTTTGTCTAAGAGTATCAATGTGATATGAATGCATTTTTCCACATTGTTTGCAGTATAAGTGCGCCTTTTGAAATACTGCTTTTTTAAAGATATGCTGTCACATTGTGCCACTTCTGTGTCAAAACATAATCTCAGAAGACACCTTTAGTAAATGGAGATGATTTTGGTAGACTATGGGGTTTCTTGTGTGTTAACCGATGGTATCTTTCGTTACACACGTAGCATTCACTATACTGCTTCATATACAGTAAATGAAGTCATTTTTTAGTACGCTGTTGCGTTTCTTGTGTAAAACGTTGGTACCTTTTGTTCCACACGTAGCGTTCACTACTGCCCCGGAGACAGCGGCGGCCTGTGAGGGGGGAACCTTGGAGCTGTCCTGTGACCCGGGATGGACGCTTCTGATCGACGCCGCCAACTACGGCCGCACGTCCTTTACCCACAGCACCTGCGGCAATTTCGGAAGCGACAGTTGTGTAACAGCCAGTAGTCTGTCGATGGTGAGGAGTGAATGTGAGGGGGTACAGATGTGCACCGTGGGGGCAAGCAACGGGTTATTCGGGGACCCCTGTCCCGGAATCGGCAAGTACCTGGAGGCAACATACCGCTGCGAAGGTTGGCCCTTTTTTTATTCAAACTTGTTGTTAGACAAGACGTGATGACGGCACACTCAAGTTTTTTTCAACTTATATTAATGCCGCCATCAACACAGGGGACAATACAATACTCAATTTCACCTGAGTTAAGTGAGGAAAGTCGTGTAAAGTGCCTTTCCCAAGGGCACAAGATCGGTGGCATGTCAGGACTCGAACCCGGGATCTCTTGGTTCTGAGTCGAGCACTGTGTCGCTACGCAACACAACCCCGCAAGATTGGCACTTGTAGCTATCTTTTTTTCTCTCCATTGTATACTTTTTTTTTACAAAAACTTTCTTCGACAAAACAACAGAAATAAACAAAGACAACAACAAAATAAGAGTACACACACACTAAAATACATAATACATACAATCCATATTTGAAACTCCCCCCCATTTGCTGTAGTGTCTGGTTGAATTATTTTGTTTTCTTGTAATATTTTCTTCCATGGATCTGACATGGTTGACAAATGAAACAAAATCATACGGAAAAATAAATGTGAACTGACGATTTTTGAAGACGTATATACTTTACCCCGTAATATTATAAGATAACATATATTTGGCACCGATTCTCTAAGGTCCCCCAACAGAACGTTGGTACACTCGGTATACTATACTAATCCATGGTATACTTTGTATTGTAGTGATCATTGTATTTCATGGGCCCAGACCTTGTAACAATTATATCCTCATTCACTAGGGGATGTCCTCTGTCACGAAACATCCATTATGTACCATTATCATTATTATATGATAATTTAGCGCTTTCTTTTTCTGAATGGGAGTAAGGTCATGATTTGTATAGCATTATAAACTACATCCATTCATGCACATAGGTTTGGCCTTGGCTACTAGTGTTCTTCTTTTCTTACATGTCACATAATTTCGTTTTCATTTCAAGCGACATCTGGTAGTTTGCCATACATTGTACCCTGCACAAACGTCGAACATGATAAGTTTCTAAATTTATATAGAAAAAAATATTTCTTATGAAATTAGACACACCAAGGACATTATCCTTTTGTATAATGTCCTTGGACACACCATGGATTGTAAGCTTCATATATTTTAATATATCTAGAAATGACGTAAGAAGTGAGAAGAAGTTGAAATTGTACATAGTAGTTAGTAGGTTGGGAAGTAGAACCCATCAGTATTTATAGTGAGGTCACCTGTACTTAGCTTGTAAGAGCATAAATGTACAATAAAGGTCTTTATTTCGTTCATTCAATAAAGTTCATTCATTCGTTGATAACCGTTACCAACATGCCATAAACAGTATGCGTTTATCACCAACGAATCTGCCAATTTTGTAGCCTAGATAGAGTCGAGGACGAGGTACATTTTACTATAGATTGTCCTTTATATAACAGTGATAGTTATACAACACCCATAATTTTCGGCCATGTTTTAAGTAACCCCACTTCGGATACTTAACAAGTAAAGAAAAAAAAATATATTCCTTTTAGCCTTTGATAATCAAATCTAACTAATCATACAGCCTCATACAATCACTAAGAAGCGAGAGGAAGTTGAAAAGGCTAGAATACATTAGAAGTTTATCTATACATGCAACAGTAATATGTATATGTATTTGTATATGTATATATGCATATGATTGTGACCTGTGCTTAGCCCAGTGGGGCAAAAATGGACAATAAAGGTCTTCGAATCCATTCATTTATCAACAACTGCTTGTCATTTGCTCAGGTAACCCCTGCACTACTCCGCCCAGCTACCCCGATAGTTACCCCTCTAGCTGCATGGACCAGCCCATCTACCAAGCCGGACACATCTGTACCTTCACCTGCCCGGACGGGTTCACTCAGTCCGCGGGGGACGCCGACAAACTGTGCGAGAACGGCAGATGGGTGGGGGACGACTTAGTGTGCGACGGTATGTACATCGATCATTTTACTTCACGGTCTACCGGTAAATGGCCAAGTGGGTGTTCAGCTTGCAATCGGTAGGTCATGAGATTGATCCCAGAGGTCGACCGAGTCATACCAAAGACCTTTGATAAATACTGCTTTCTCTAGGTCTGCTTAGCACTCAGTATTTGGAAAAGAGTATGGGAGTTAAACACACACCACTACCAGTGGCCTAGTTGCCTCTGGTATAGTCATTGTACTACTGTGTGACCCAAGGGCTCTTGAATAGGAGATGGGCGCCGCCATTAATCATAACTGCAATTACGATATTGTATACGTTTACAGGACTGAGGTTTTGATAACAAATGTATACGTACATGCATGAAAAGGCCTTTTTATAAAAGTCCAACAAAGCAGAACAAAATACTAGTAGATAATATAAGTCCGTGTCTTGTTTTACTTGAGTGTTTTTACTAAAAGGCTTTGTTAGTTTCTACCAGATGTTATTTCGTAAAGGCTGATGGTGAGAAATACTCTTGAAAATACGAATCTTTCCTTGTTCCAGACATCGATGAGTGCGGGATGAATAATGGAGACTGTGCCGAGGTCTGTACCAACTCCGCCGGTTCCTACATCTGTTCCTGCTATGGAGGACTGCCCATGGACAACGGCACATGTCTTGGTAGACATAGAAAGCCACGATAACATAAAACAAACAAGAACACAAAACAACAACAAAATCCGACTCTCCGTATAACTTCGGAGGATAGCATTCATCTAATTTTAGACCTCATCATTTTCAGACCTTCTTTCAACAAGATTCAAAGGAACGTATACTTTCAGAATTCTTAACATCTACATACATTGTACTTGCGTTGATAGTAGAATACATAATCAGTATGCATACCTGACATATTTTGTCTGCTGAAACTTAATTAATATTCAGGAATTTGGAAGAAATTCTCTCGCTATGTGTTATCTACCTTTACGTAATCTATGACAACAGAAAACTAAAAAAAACCGACAATTTCTCTGGAGCAAATGCATCATATTTCACCACATCTCCCTCACATTAAATTGGACCATTCAAAGCTCACACATGTGCAAAAGTAGAACATTCCAAAATAACCCCAAAAGCGAACTATTTGCCAAGTAATTCAAGTTTCGAATGGAGCCTTCCTAATTTGGCCGCAATTGAAAGAAAGATAAAGAAAAGAATATATTTCATCCATAATTATATTATGGATTGAATTCTCGTAAGTTGTCTACCTGTGTATCCCACCCAGCCTGCCTTGCCGGAGACACAGACGGCACCTATGAATATGTGTGGGAACTGCAGCCTGTTACCTTCCCGTACATCGTCATGGCACAAACGGACGGTCCCGTTCACCTGGCCCTGTCTGCTGAAGCCGGGAATGTTGACCAGGCGTACGAGATCGTCATCCGGGGTTGGAGTATGGATGGGAGCGTCATCCGCCGCAGTGTGGAGGGTCCAGACCTGGTCTCTGCCGACACTACAGGTAAGGCCACACCGACGAAATTCTATGGATGACATCCACGCGCGCATTGATTTTCGCCTGAAAAAAAAAGATCACGTCCTCCGAGGCTCTGGCCTGACTCTAGGCCCAGCCTCCTTCGCAGTCTTGTTGGGCGTCGTCGTTATTTTTTTCTCTGAGCGACGCGAGTAATATGCGGCTGCGAGGGACGATTTGCTGCCGAGGGAGTTTTTGCCGCGGAGAGAAGGATTCGCGCTCCGGAGGCTAGTGTCGAATCATTTTATTTCAAAATCATATCATATGAACCCCAATAACTAACTAATATTAATCATATATCAAAAATCAAACGAAATCTGTCAAACCCACCGCGCCGTGACTTACAACTGTGAGCCGTCATCAAAAAGCTAAAAGACGACCAAAAACAGTACCTTCCTGCAGAGGGATATGTCCTTCCCAGAGGCACATGCAGTAAAGATAAAAAGAGCAGACGTCTGTCTAGATTACATTATTAGTCCCTGGCCTGGTCCCTGGGTAGCAATAACATCGTAGGACTACGAATGTTACATGCAGTGACATAAGCAGTGTGCTATAGTAAAATCGGCTGTATTTTCAACTTTGGTGAATAATCTCATACTATTACAATTGTATTGCCCCAACTGCCTATTAGGAATGCTAGCTCAAGGCGCCTACAGCGCGTTCTGGATCTACTGGTGGCCGAACGGAACCATCGCAGTCCGGCTACACGGGGAGACCCTGCCCTTCCTACAGTGGACGGACCCCGAACCTCGGCCGGTCAGCTACATCGGGTATACCATGGATCAGCTCCCGGGGCTGTGGAAGTTCTGCCGAGGTACGTTAATGATTGTTAAAGGAAATTTAGAAATGTAACAAGAAAGGTAACATTTGCAAATGTATAATGTTAACATTTACATGGTCTAGCCCAGCAAACTACTGCACTGTTTAGCTTACTCAAAGTCAAATACATTCATTTGTATGATGAGCAGCCTCTCCGCCTCTGTTCTGCTCCATAATGTAAACCAACACCTCAAGGTGTTGCTACAGCAACCGTTACCATGGTGACAGACATCTGGTCCAGGCCATTGAGTTTACTTGTTTGGAGAAGAATAGGAAGAAGAAACTGTGCAAAACAATATATTTTCCTTCTGCTATCAAACATAGTAACTGTAGAAGCTTTGCGCAGCTTCGTGGGAACGTTTAAATAATTATAAACATATCGAATGCTATTGAATTTTTTGACACAGAAAAATGCATGTCAAACATCATTTATGAACTTCAAAATGCATATAATTTAATATACCATTGGTTTTATCTTCTTACAAGTAAATGGAGACTGGAGTGAGTGGGGCAGCTTTAGCGCCTGTGACGCGAAGTGTGGGTACGGAACCATGGAGCGGACCCGGACTTGTGACAACCCGCCGCCGGTAGAGTATCTAGGCGGGACCTGCATAGGGTCGACCGGGATGTCTGTACTGTGTTACGTCTCGGGCACATGTCCAGGTACGATACCACTCGTTTCTTTCTTTGTATGTACAGTAGGAGGGCATGGTGTCTTCAACACACCTAGTCCCTCATCCTGAGTTGGTCGCCAGAAGGGGGCGGGGTATAATCTCCAAGCAGGTCTTTTGGTGGCTGCTAAGACAGTATGGAATTGGCCAGTCTGTATCCGTTTACCAGTTACTATTTTGCCACCAAAGTAATGGTACTGGGTGATACTGTATTGGAGGCCACCAAAAGATCTGCTTGGAGATTAGGTGGGGTATACATCGAGATTTTTTTTTTAACTTTTCCGTGTCCGCCACGGCACTTTATTCTCTCGACATGTATGTTACAAATAATATATCAGCATATACGCTTAATAAATTAATGAAGTACATAAGTCTTGCGAACATAAAACATATTTTTACATCGAGATTGTCATGCCTATCTTGCAAGTCGTGGAGTTATTAATTGATTTACTCTCTTGTAGGAATGTATGGGAACAGTGTTTCATAAGTTTAGTCATGTAATAATGATCTTTTTTCTATCACCACAGAGAGTGACACTTCAATACCGGTAAGTATGAGAATTTTAATCTAATATCCTTAATTACGTCGGTGAAGGTTGTATCTTTAATTCCAAAATCATATACAATTGCGAGAGTAACTGTGTTTTGGTGAATATTAAAGGGTTAATGCACTGCCCCGAGGTGTATATGGTGTCATAACTGCATGAGCAGCTGCTATAACCACCGAATAAACCACCGTGTGAGCGAAGCGAACGAGGTGGTTTATGAGGTGGTTATGGCAGCTGCTCATGCAGTTATGACACCATATACAACGAGGAAAAGGCAGTGCATTAAAATTATTATCATATAGCCTATCCAAACTGTCAATCAACACAATTCCTGTTTGAAATACAACAGCTTTAATATATATACATACATAAAAATACATTCGAATATATTATACGCTTTAAAACAAATATGGATAATTTCATTTAATGCAAATTGTAGTTTAAATGAAGCTAAACAAAAAAGTTTATTGGACAGAAAAATGCTACAAAGGTTTACAGAAAGAGTCGCATGCCCCTATACCCTATAACATAATGGTATCAGCCATAACACGACATGTGCTGTTATTCCGCCATAACAACACATGTGCTGTTATCGGGAAATAACAGCACGGGTATCCGGGCCTCTGATTGGTCCACGCCGTCCGGCTATATGATAATCTTAATTATCATATAGCCGGGTGGCGTAGACCAATCAGAGGCCTCCGTTACCCGTGCTTTATTCTCCGATAAACCATGGCTCAGCCGTGCGTTATTCTCCATAAACCATGGGTGAAACCATAATGATATAGGGGTACACAGCTCTTTCTGTTAATATTCATAGCAGTTTCCTGGTCAGACAAAATTATGTTTTTTTAAGCTTCATATAAACTAAAATGTGTGTGAGTATGAAATGTATATGTAAATAGATAGAATTTGAACGGGAGAGCAAAAACCATACTTATTTTGAC